TCTTCCTCTTATTTTCACAGCAACAGATCAACACAGTCGAAGAGACATTAAAAGTGTTTGCTTTATAGAAAGTACAGAAACCGTACAAAGACAAATGCTTTTCACTGTGCACAGAGATGCAGCTCTGGACTGCATCTCTGTGCACATCTCAGGACTGGAGATGTTGGGAGAACGTAGCTGTGCTGCTTCATTTGGGATAAATCTCTCTGTCGCAAACAACAGGGAGTGAGTTAGCACCAGAGAGAGCACGAGACGCACTGAAGACACGCGTCACTCTCACCTCAATTATTAACCATTCTCTACCATCACACTGTTGTCGATACTGAAAACCTGCAGCCGCTTGTGTTGAAGAGTTGAAGCTGCTGTCGGTTCAAATACTTCAACTCTGTCTGTGTTTAATTTAAAAAGTCTAATCACATTTTATCAATTTAATTACTCAGGATTAATGTTAGCGCTGCAGTGTGCAACTTCAGTTTGTTTCTGTTGTATTTAATGCTCCAAAGACCTAATAGTGCTTTTCCAGCCGTCACTTTAAATCAGACACAACTAACTACTTCAACCTGACACACTAGGACTTTACAGACCTTCCCGCTTTGGTGATTGAGCAGCATGTTCTGTTTGTTTCTGCTCAGGCTCAGGGTAATGTAGTGCACTCTAACCAACTTTTTGTCAGATTTGTCCACCTGCCACAGATGTTTCTTCTGGTTTCTTTACTAACTGCAAAACATAAAATCATTTGGTTGGATGTGTGACTAAACATATGCTCACATGCACAGGCTTAAAGGCATTGATTTTAAAGCCTTAAAAATTTAAAAGATTTTTGCTGTCTGCTGCATCCTCTCCTAAGATAACAACTCTAAATGAAGGTTTTAAATTTTTTTCCACTAAATTTAACAAGCACGCAATGAAGCTTTTTGTGCTTCTTTCTGCTATCTATCACTGTCCAGTACAGAGTTTTTAGGGTTTCAGGTATTTGAAAGAAGTGAAAACACAAAAAAGCTCTTGGTTATTTGGTGAAAAAGAATTCTGAATTAGTGTAGAGTCAAAAATGAGGTTGTTGCTCAATACAAAACTGAAGCGCCCAGACCTAACCCCTTAAAACCAAACCCCGAGCCAGCTTTTGAATTGAACATTGAATCTCATAATTTCAATCCAACAATAATTTCTGATAAATTTCAGCCAAAAACAATACTGAATTTAAAATGATTTAATTAAAAATAACTATACTGTGATTTTTGTCTTCCAATTTTCTATCACAAATTCAACCTTGGGCAGCCTCATTTCTCCCGTTCCTTCAACAGATCTTATTGAATACCGCAGACGGCATGCTGTTTATGAGACTCCAACACAATCAATGACGTACAATACTTCAGCAGGCTAAAAATGAGGAGGATTGACAGGAAATCAAATGTGTTTGTATTAAGAGCAGGTTGTGTTTTAATACTCTTTAGACTAATTTACAAAACACAGAATCTTTCTTGGAACAATAAGCTCTGAAATAAGAACCCTGCCTTGAACCCAGTGAAAATATCTTATCATTGGTGACAGACGACAATGCAGAGGGTCAATAATGAACTGCTGACTGCACAGGTCAGTGGTGTGAGGTAAGAACATCTGAGGTCTGATATGGCAATAAAAGATCCAGTTAAAGAAAATTTGCTGATAACAAGTTAAGACATTTCCTCGTTTCACGGAACATTTGTTTTCTGTAGCACACATAAAGAACAGCTTATTCTTGAGGAACAGTCCTCCTCAGGGTTAGAAAGAGACAATTCAAAGCACCGGAATGACCCAACAGTGGTCATTTTATTTAGAATTTCATGTATCAAATTGTTCAACAGAAAAAGAAGAAAACCCTCCGTACCCCATGTGAAAACCCTGAAATTGAATTTGTGTTATTTCCCCTCAAAAAGACTCCTGTGAAGTGAACACAACAGAACATTAACCACTCAACAAAAGAATCCCACATCTCACTGTTCTTGTGCAGGGAATTACTTGACATAAATGTCATTATGTTCTCAAAGCCACTTGCCGTTAACACTGTGCACCTCTGAACACTTGCAACTATGATCGAATGAGACGCGCCACAGTCCTGGTGAAATGTTCTCAGCGGACTGTGACATCGCTGAGCATCTGCATTAAACTGGTTCAGCTTGTTGTTGTTTTTTTTACCGTTTTTTCACAAAGGTCAAGCTATTTTCCTGAGGGCGAGAAGAAATCAATTTTTAGAAAAAATTAATTTGAATAGATGTTGGAGACAGACGACGGAGGCTGTGGACACGATGATTTGTATGTTTAATAATGATATATATATATTTATATATATATATATATAAATAAAAAAATTCGATTTACATACATTGAGATGGTGTTGGGAAATGTCAGTGGCTAAAGACAGAAATATATATATGGTTGTTTTTAGGCTAGAAATGCATCAGGAAAATAGCAGCACTGTGAAATACCTTAAGCTCACTCATAAGCACGAGTGCTCGTTAACAAAATTGGCAAACCAATGGCTGTACATGGTTTGTTGTGTAGAAGTAGTAGATTGAAAATAAACTGCAAGTTAGTGTTTTATCTACAAACCAAAAAAAAAAAAATTAACTGAAAACCAAGGACACCAAAGACTTAAACTAAATCCTAAATGCTACACAAGCAAAATGTGGTCAGTGCTCGTCCAGTGACTCGCTAGAAGGAATCCAGTACCGTGTGATCGTGTCTCGCATCTGGCTGAACGTATTTTTAAAGCCATCGGCCCAGCCAGTTTCCTGCCGGTCATAGTTACAAAAATTCAGAGGTGCGAGACTAAGCACAGAGAATGTGTTGTGGCCATCGTGTCCAAAGCGCAGCAGGGAATATGGTCGAGGCTCAACACCACGTCAGCAATGTAACACACACATACAGATGGGGGCGCGCACACACACAGGCACAAAACACTCACTAATGACAAAGGATTCGAATTTCATACATTGAGATGGTGTTGGGAAATGTCAGTGGCTAAAGACAGAAATATATATATGGTTGTTTTTAGGCTAGAAATGCATCAGGAAAATAGCAGCACTGTGAAATACCTTAAGCTCACTCATAAGCACGAGTGCTCGTTAACAAAATTGGCAAACCAATGGCTGTACATGGTTTGTTGTGTAGAAGTAGTAGATTGAAAATAAACTGCAAGTTAGTGTTTTATCTACAAACCAAAAAAAAAAAAATTAACTGAAAACCAAGGACACCAAAGACTTAAACTAAATCCTAAATGCTACACAAGCAAAATGTGGTCAGTGCTCGTCCAGTGACTCGCTAGAAGGAATCCAGTACCGTGTGATCGTGTCTCGCATCTGGCTGAACGTATTTTTAAAGCCATCGGCCCAGCCAGTTTCCTGCCGGTCATAGTTACAAAAATTCAGAGGTGCGAGACTAAGCACAGAGAATGTGTTGTGGCCATCGTGTCCAAAGCGCAGCAGGGAATATGGTCGAGGCTCAACACCACGTCAGCAATGTAACACACACATACAGATGGGGGCGCACACACACAGGCACACAAACACTCCCATATACCCATATACATGCACACAAAACACTCACTAATGACAAAGGATCTGTGTTTTGTCCTGATTGGACAACATAAAGATGTTTTATATATTTCCATACTGATAGTGAGTCTGTCTTAAAAAAATCCTTTGGACACTTTTTGTCCAACATATAGATACTAGCACTTCCGGGATCCAGACTTTTTAAAAAAATTTAACAGTCTAAAGTCTCTCTCTTCTCTCTCTTCTCTCTCTCTCCTTTTCATGACATTTTATGTACAATATCAGTATATAGAACATAAATAACTAGACAAAAGTTTCTTTTTGTAGCCTATTCACAATTGACAATCATCAAGAACCCATTCGGAAATTAGACAACGGCAAAAAGGAAAAATAAAGAAAAAGAGTTTGATTTTGAATTGACGCCTGTTCTGTTACATCTTTCCGTAAACTTTCTGTGCAGCCAAGACATGGTGTGAAGTGTATGATGATGAAAATTAAAGGTTAAAAGGTCAGGGAAATGTAGCGTACAGCATGTTGTTATGGCGGGTGCTTTATAAAAAGATTTTTTCTCTTCTCTCAGTCACCGTCACAGGAAAAACAAAATCTGCACAGAAGCTCAAAAAGACGGTCACTGGATTCCCGACATCTTGTTCGCGTGTAAACAAAGCACCAGTAGTGTCTTAAGTTCCATGTGTCTCTTCTGTACAAAAGTATAAATATATCATATCTCAATTTTTTTTTCTTTTCATTTTTTTTTTTTTTTGTTTGTTTTTCTTTTGGCTCTGTTCACATATCTAGGATGTACCAGTAAAAAGAAATGAGAAAAAAAAAACTGATGTTTGTTGTTTGTTCCTAAAAACACACCAGTATTGCAGGATCTGTGCTGGAGTTTTTTGTCGTTGTGTTTGTTCTCCATTCTGAAAATCTCCCGATTTGCTGGTTTATGCTGATGTTTTTTTTTTTGTTTTGTTTTGGGTTTTTTTTTTACAAAGTTGGGTGTTTGCTTGGTGTTGATCGTTGATCGTCTTTGCATAAATAAAAACATACAAACAATAACGTTGTTTTCCGGCACAGTCTGCAGCCACCTGACAAAAAAAATAGAGAAAAATAGAAAAGAAAAAAACAACTATTGTGTCCATTTTAGCTACAGCAGATCCATCTTGGGTCTGTAATGGAGCAGGAGGGGAGATTTCTGGAAAGACAAAAACAAATAAACCTGAGCAAAAGCAGGGTTACGTGAATGGAAATCCCTTAAACTGTATTTTCCAAAACTCCTTACCTACAAGGTGAGTAGATGTAGCAAATCTAAATGAGATAATAGAAACCCTTTGCCTTACATCCATGTGTGTATTTGTCTTGTCATGGAAATGAACAAGCAGCGGGAAACACGACGGCATTTCACCTCTTATCCAAGAGGACTGAAGAAGCCTCTGGGATGAGAGGTGAAACGTCTTCAAAAAAGAACAAAAAAAAAAACTACTTTGCCCAGTTGCCATCGATGTGACTATTTTTGAATGTTTTATGTAGTTGAGAATTTCTTGACGTTTGTAACTTTTATTTAATATTCAACACTGCATTATATTTGAATTGTGTGACATTTGCACAGTAAACACCTGCTTAAATCTCTACATTTTATTTAATTTGTAGTTACTCCATTAATAACACAATAAATCACTTGAAAATTAACACTTTTAGAGATTTTGGTGTTGAAAATAAGTATCAGTGGAGAAGAAAGTAGAGAATCTGTTTTAATGCATCATATAATGCGAGTTATTTTTTTTAAAGTACTGCAACATGTACTCATTGTTACCACGTGTAGAAATAAATTACCTTAAATCGCCATCTCGTCACAACCACAAATTTCAACGTGTGGTCCTTGCCTAAGATTTCTTCGTTGCATAAAATGTCCAGCTGCAACAGAGAGAAAGAGAAAAAAGACGGCTGATCAATTTCTGACGTGAGGGAGTTTGAACTGCCTCACACTGAGAAATGAGACTCAATTTCCCTGAGAGGAGGTGAACAACATGACAAACTCCATCTCCAGGCCACATGACGCCTGGTTACCAGCTCCATTCATCTTACCGGTGTGATGCACCACCCATCCTCTCTGCCCCTCAGCTCACATTCTTCAATCTGAGTTATAACAGCTCTGTTTCAGACAGAGGAAGTTGGAGAGCACTTATTTTTGACGTGGAGTGGTCCCTGGTGCCTGAGCAGCAGCAGCAGCAGCAGCAGCAGCAGCAGCAGCACAGACAGTAGAACACAAAGTTCAGTAGTAAACACAGGGGCCTGCTCCTCCCATTCACCTCTCCTCCTGTGAAGTCAACATTGATATTCTGCTGAGCAGCATCTGCATCTGCTAATCAATACAGTGAGGCATAAGATAAAAGGAATCCAACACCGTCACAGCGCCACCTGCTGCCCGACACTGCAGGACCGTTTCTTGGACAAAGAGTGATACCAGCTCACAATTTACAGAAAAAGACAGAAATGCTGTGATTTTATTCTGTGGGGAAAAAAAGAGAATCACTGCAGGCATTTGTGTCGAAATAAAAAGATGTTGGAAAGATGAGGGGAATAATCGTATCTATCATCGTTCTCCATTTCTTTACAAAACAAATCCTCCCAAGAATGCAAGCGCAAAATAAAAATAAATGTCTCATAGTGTAACATGATGAATGATCTAGTCTTTTTTCCAGTAGAAAACACAAAGAAAAGGTGAAAACTGATGGATTTGACTTTAGGGACAGATTATAAAGTTAAATCAAGTCTGATCTAATGCAATCTTTGGATCTAATTTTAATTGAAGCTGTTTCTCAAGCGACATAGAAACAAATATATTAAATAACAGGAAATATGAATTGTTTAAAATTAGCTACCTATGCTGTGGTCACATATTTCTAATCATAAGATTGAGAGAAATAGATAAAAGACATAGTTAAAGTAAAAAAAAATCTAGTTTGAATTCCAAAACAACTGTGTTTTTCTGGAAGACTGACACAACTTAAGTGTATGAAAAAGATTAAATAAAGTTTTAACATTTGTTCACTCCAATAACCAATCGAAATAAGAGAACAGTAGTGTTCAGTTATTTTTACAATTTGGCATATTCCACCACCTTGTTTGTTCATGTTTACAGTTCCTGCTACATTTTTTACCTGAGTGACTGATGACAGCCGTGTATTTGGGGGCAGCGTGGTCCTGTGTGTCTATAGCATACTTTACTTTGACAAAACCACTCACTGAAACACTCTGAGCGAAATGGTTTCAAGCAGCAGTGTTTGACAGTCAACAGACTCTACAACAACGCCTGGCAGGGAGGAGACGAATGACACGGCTGATGATGTAATACAGTCAACCCGCTGTCACAGAAAAAAAACAGGCATCTGTGAAAATTATTCATAGCATTTTGAAAAAATCCATCTGTCAAATTATCGCCCACCAGCCGTCTTGCTGTTCTTAAAGAGGACAGGGAGATAATAATAGCAATCTAAGTCTATCATATATCATGAGCTCCTTATATCTACCAAACATTTTCAAGCAAATAGTTTAGTATCAGTTGTGCAGTGCCTCTAGTGCTATAAGTTGTGCAACCTAAGAAGACGAAAGCTTTCTCTGCACAGTTGGAGCGTGTTGTTGTCTGTACCTCATTAAATGATGTCAGGTTAAGCTTTTTGGCGATGAACTTCTTGAGGTGAAGGACTGTGGCTTGTGCCGAGCAGCGGATCCACTTGCGTTTGAGACCTCGAAGTTTGCTGCTGTTGCACTCCAAGCAGATGCTGACCTGTCCGAAAAGTTGAGACTGTGAGAAACTGCAGCAGCTTAATAAGTACAAAAACCTACCAGGGATATTTTTTTTATATTTGAAATACAACAGGTACAAATGTAATACAAACAAACATGCAATTTGGTGGTGTACTGGACAGTAAAGGACCAAGGACAGAAATATATTCTTACCATTTCCAAAGACAAACTTGATTCTGTTTCAATTACATTAGTCCTGAAAAATACCTGCGTTTTTAGGCATTTTTTATTTTTTAGGCCAAATATGTATACTATTTTTCTTACTTTGCTGCAACTCACGTCCACATGGACAGCCTAGCAGAGTGCTATCGTGTATTTATTATGAATGCAGGATCCATGATTATAAAATATATTTTTGGCAGCTGGCTAATTCAACATGACACTGGTGCTGATGTTTCCTGTCTGCAACTATAGCACATCTCACTAAACCAGCACTGTCTGTTTGTCTTTGGCTTATTTGCCCAAGCCCTAGCTTTTTTCACCCCTGAGAGGACACGGTAGGTGGTTTTGGCAGTGGACGGTTGCAGGAGTCAGAAAGCATTAACTCCACTGAGCCTTTTCCTCTCTTTCTGAAACAGGAAGGACTAACATTGCCCTCTGGTTTCTGCCTTAACTTGGCAAAGCTGTGCATTCTCACATCACAAATGGCAGCGCTCTAATGTATCTGCTTTTCCAGTCGAGCTGACAATCAAGGTTACCCTCATAATGTGAAATAAAAGTCTCAAAGGTAATCTGGACTCCACAGCGGCGGCTCTGCAGCAGACTGCAAAGCAGCTTACTTACAGAGCAGTACATTAACAACCTCTGTATGGAGCTAAAGCTGTACACAATCTGAGTTGTGACGGATACAACAGGGAGCCATATTAAGAAAACATCACAAAGGCCTTTGTGGTGTTGCACAGAGAACACCTAACACTGTTTCACAGACTCATTACCCAGGCCTGTATGCTAGGAGAAAAGTCATTTTCTCCCTCTCTCAGATGGGAGATTGGACTTTCTTTTTCATGTGTGACTTGACACATTAACAAATGTATTTCCTGAATTCTGAAAGACCCGGATTTGGCATTTTTGTCTTTTTTTGGAAGCCCACAAATTGCTGTCAGTTACATCTTCAAAATCCAAAAAAAATTCAAAATTTGTTTCAACTCCAGTCTAAATAATTATATTACAATATAATTCTCTGAACTCTGAACTGTCTTTGTGATTTACTGATGATGTAGAGTTTTGTGTTAAACTGTGGCTGTTGTCTCAATCTCTGTTCTGCCTTTATGCTGTTACTGCTTACGTGCGCTGTCCGTGGTGCTGGTTTCACACCCCAGGGTTTTATCTCTGAAAAGGTCGCACAGAATGCAGCAGGAAGTGTTCTGCCATCAGCCAGGCATGCAGTCGGATGGATTTTACATATTCGATCACACAATTAATGTGGTTTTAAAGGCAGCAGTGGGTAGCTGGCGTGCCTCTAGTTATTTTGTTAGTCGTATAGATATAGTCATTAAGACATTAATCTATATATTTGATACTCTTTTATCTATCTATCTATATTTCTATAATCCATTTCTTAAGTCAATATTAATTAGAGGTCTGCATTGACTGTAAGGGTGACATTCCAACATTGCCTCTAAAGGAGCAACATGATTATTTACGTATTAAGTATAGAGAGTAAATAATTTATTTTAATACCTCATTCTAATCCAGTGGTTCCCAAAATTGGGGATGGTTCCCCTCCAGGGCCCACATATTGCATGAGGCACCACAGGATAAATTCACTTTAATTCTAATATTAACTTTAGTTTTGGCATCAGTAATGCACTGATTTATAACTTAACACTTTTTAAAAAATTTAAATAGCAGAGCAGAGCATAGTCCTCTCTACAGAAGAGGGGCACGAAAAGTTGGGAACCACTGTTCTAATTCATTCTTCATCTGTCCTCTGTTATCTCTGTGAGCTGACAAGTATTCAGTTCACAGAGGCAGTGGCATTAGCTATTCCAAACACATTCTGCAATGCTGCAGTGTCTTTAAAGGGCAGGGTCTTTGCCCTCATCACGGCAACCGGCATTCACCACATCGCAGTACGAAGCTGCAACATCGAAAAAATACACTTTGTCCTCCAGCCTTGAAAACATCTATTAAGCCATGAGGACAATTGTCTGCCTGCTATGTGACAATAAGGAGAGACACATTGTGTTCCTGGCACCGGCTGTCCAGTACACAATCACAGCTCTCTGCATTATTGATATCATATTGTAGGGCTGGACAACGCGAATACAATTGAAATCACAAAAAAGGACCATTTCCATTTTGAAAGCCTGCAGTGGACAGTGGTGGTGTGGAGTCTGCCACATAATGGATCTCAGAGAAAAATGTTAAAAGAAAAATCAGGGACAAAAAAAAATCCTGCAATTGCAATTTGGTCTGGTGAATTATATGGAGGGTGCTTCAAACAAAGAGATAAATAAAGACCAGGATTTTAAAGTAAAATTATTCTTAAAACATCCATCAAAATCTGCAGTGTTCATGGTGTATCCTTTAAATAATGCAGCCAATTTACTTTGCTTCTCTCAATAATTATGAAAGGGAAACCTAATTTGCAATTGCATTGATCAAGAGGTGATTACCCTCAAAACATATTTTCTCACGTACTATACCAAGTTTTATTTCTTTTTGATAACAAGATAAAGACGGCGACCATATTTGTACAACAGTATCCAAAAGAGGGAAACACGAAGCAGTATTAACCTGCTCGTCACTGCGATGATAGTCGTTGTCCTCTTCTGGTTTCTCCTCCCCTGCCTCCTTATGGGCTGTGTCTTCCGATTTTGTATCACCTGTTTAAAAAAAGAGAGAGAGACAACTTTTGAGCTCCTGAGTTTGTGGTTGTGAAGAATACAACTGTGCATTCCAAAACACACACACTTTTTTAGACTTTTTTAGACTTGTGTAACTCATTAAAATTCAAATGGCTTGTTCCACTTGTCAAATTTGTGGTATTTGTTTCTCCACAGAGCCTCGTGTACAGACAGCCAACAAACTTTTTTGCAGCTGTTCCTAGATAGTTCAGAGCTGGTACATTTCTTCAGAGTTTTTCGTGTTGCCTGTGATACTGAGTAATGATTTTTATTACTGTTATGAAACAAGATTATCAAAGTCCTCGTTGCAGCACAGTGACAGACTGGCTGCATCAGAGAGGTGTTGCTATTACACTCTCACCTTTATAAACACAGTAGTTATGTAAAATGTATTGACGTGTGCGTGCGTGCGTGCGTGCATGTGCGTGTGTGTGTGAAGGAAAGTACTGCTCACTTTGCAGAATGTGTGTTTTTATTCTCCGTCCTCTGTGGCCACTTCCTTAGAACCTACTGTCAATAATCCTGCAGGGAATTACTGGGAAAGGTCTGAGCTTGTTCTGGTGTCTGTGCAGTGATTGTCTCCAGAGTGGGCTCCTGCTGATTGCTTATCAAGAGGGTCTTGCTCGACTATGACCACTAGGATTTGTAAAGTGACACCCGGAGAGTTGTGTTTGATTTTCAGATGCCAGAATGGGTAAAAGGCACAAATTCTTAGGTTTTCAGTTCATCGACTTCATTTTGTTGAATGATTGTTTTTAGAATGATTGATATCTGACCGGTGGCAGACCACGATACACAGATGGTTGTGATGTAGCATTAACGAGGCAGGGTTTTTTTTTTTTAAGAATTTAGATGAACTGCCATATCATTTGTGCAGTAAAAGCTAAGGAAAGCAGACACTTTGAAGAAAATTAGACTGTTTTAATGGATACCAAAGTTTTGCTGCAAATTTACTGGTTTGCATTTTTTGTATATACTGTATATATATAAACCCTGAAACATTTCCCCAAAGCTGATAAGTAAATGCATCTTTTTAAAACTTATGAGTCATCATAGTTGCAATATATTTTACTGCTTGCATAAGAAAAATGTTATCTTTCTTTCATTGAATTAACAATGCTGAGGAAATTGTGTCGAATTGCTTCCACAAAATAAATCACAGAAGAAATGATGGCGCTGTTTCAAACTGTTTAATATATGTTCCTACTTCAGTTAAGATCTCACATCAAGCTGAGACAACCGAGCAAATCACAAAATATCGGGGAAGCAGTTAAATAGTTGAATATAAAGTGTTGTAGTGTTATAGCTTTCTCTGAGTGGATTTATATGGTGAAATCTAGTGATTCTAGTAGGGAGTAAGTTCGACAGACATTGAACTACAGTATGTAGCTTTGGAGTATTTAACAGACATACAATTTAAACTTAATGTTGTGATAAGCTCATAATACACTCTCATTGAACCAGATCATATTCTACTGCCTATTAACTTAACTGCTAATGTAAAACCATTGACTTAACAGTACTGGAAATGGGCTTAATAGAAAATCAATACAACATGAAGGAATAATAATAAAGGAAAATTAATGAGTTCATCACTTTTATAATGCTTTAGTATGATACATGAAAATAGAAAAAAAAAAGTAGGAAAGGAAAGTGAACCACTTGTCACTGTGACACAGCACACCACTGCACACAACCAAATGTGACCTCTATTTTCAAACCTGAAGCCTTCCGGACCCAAGTCTGCTTCTTTAACCACCAAGCCACCAATGCTGCTAAAAATGGTTGTGGTGCGAATGTGTTTAAAGTATGAACAAGACTGTGAGAATGTCCATGTACGTGTGTGTGTGTGTGTGTGTGTGTGTATGTGGCTAAACCTGAGTTGTAGTGATGAGGCACAGGAAGCCAGAGGAGCATTTTCATTTCCATTTAAGCCTTAATTACCAAAATCAGCGCAGAGGGATTAAGTGAGCGATTAGGGCCTGCCAGCACGACAGCCCTCTCTGGGCACACTTTCACACAACACCCTCGCAAGAGAAGTGGTTTGGAAAAGCTGTTTTACACAACAAGCAGACCAGGGACTCATTCTTACTGGTTAAATTACCTTCATCTGCACTGGCTAATGGCAGCTGCTGTTACTGTGTGGTCATGCTGCTAATGGTACTTGTTAAAAAGTTTGAGGCTTCATTTCTTGTGGAAAACAATGAGAAAAACAACCAATGACTGGAAACGTCACACCGTGGAATCCAAAGACAATGAGTCTCAATGAGTAACTGATAATATGAAGGACTCACTCGCTGGTTAAATCTGACTAGTAATTAAGCAGTTTGATAGACTTTAGTTTAAATGTACTACTTTTGGGTTGTATTTTTTATGTGTCAAACGATTACAATGTTTAATTGCTGTTAGTCTAAGGTTGTCCAGTGGTAACTTATGATTATGACACATATTTAATCTTTTTTAAATGTAGCTCAATTATATTTTTCAAGATTTTAATAATCATATAAACACGGAAATTTACAAAGATGTATAAGTTACTACATTTAAATTCCTAAATGTCTGTTTATGGTTATTGCTAATAATCCAAAATTGGAGCGTGGGGGATTTGGGACACAGACAAAAAACAATAAGTGAATTTTTGGAACTACAATAAAAACAGCACAAAAAAGTAATTGTCATAAAATGCCATCTAGAAAGGGTTTAATGTTAAATCTGTGATTATGGTGCGTGAACATTACTGCAGCACTGATCGCTTCTTGACTCCAAAATCTACCTGGCAGGCCCAGAAGGTACGTGCATTACCCACGCATCAATACATTTGTGATTTTGTTTGAGTTGCAATTTTCATCTTCATTAGATGATAGGTATATGTTAAAGAATAATTCTATTTTATGCATTTACTTTGAGAAATAGTATCTAATTCAGAGATTGTTTATACAAAGAACCTACTGGTTATAAAAACCTGTTAACAGAATATTGCCTTGGTGTGTGATGTGAGCATCGTGTGGTGCTGATCGTACCGTTGCGTTGATCTAGGTGGGTCTTCATGTTACAGAGTTCCCCTTTAATGTCTCCAGGAACCTCCATTCCTAACTTCTGATAAAAGTCTCTCTGTTTCTTTATCTCCGCTGCAAGACAGAAGTCAGAAATAATCAGACGATGCAGTGTCTTCTCCCTCAAGGTCAATACCATCATCGGGATCTCAAAACTCAATGGAGTGGGCGATGATGCAAACATTAACGACCAATTAAACTTGGCATCCTCAACAGAAAGAACAGTTTCTAAAATTGCATCTGCTGCAAGGCTTTATAAACACAGACAAACAAACAAAATGAAATAAACAACGCTCAAGTTGTCAGATTATTAAATACACACACTTTGGGACATGCAGGCAATGAACAGCACAGAAAATAATTAAAACCATTTAATATTAATGTAATTATTTTTTCATTGTCAAGATTACTGATGGGGACAGGTAAAAAAAAAACAAGACAACAAGCATGACACTTACCTTCTTGAAGTCCCGGTACCAATTTGTAGACAATGTCTTGCATTGTTCTGTCATGGCTACAAAGAAAAGAAAAATAACAGTTTGGTTATTTTTTCATCATAACAGACAACTTTGGCCAACAGACTTCTTTTGTGCTCCTGTGAGGAAAAACACAGGTGAATGGTACACTTGAAATTTAAAGTCCAGTCTGAGAGCAGCTTCAGCCATGGTGCAACTGTGATTGTAAACCCAGGCTCAATCAGTCATTAGTAAATGTTAAATACGGCTGCATAGAACATCCAACTGAAGGTGAAAGAGCCTAACAGCCTCACAAATACGTACAGTGATAATGAAACCAGGGGACATTCAGAAAACTCTGATGGGGACATTGATGAAGAAAATATCAATTGAACTGCAACAGGTTGAAAACAAACTGGTACAAGTTGTCCTGGGCCTGAGAATGCACCACATATGCTCTGTCAGTCACAAGTGTTAAATAATTTTCTTTTTTGGCAATATGGGTGGCGCAGGTGCTGACTGTGGCCTCTGGTCGTCCCTCACCGTGATGGTGCACAGTGACAACCAGCTGTGGCAGCCGGTTAACGGACCACATGTTGAGTTTGTACAAGTGGACACAAAGGGGGGGGGGAAATACAAAAATCTAACAGAACAACTGTATATGAGGCTGGGAACAAGATACCAAGACAAATACTGACCCCTGTTGAACAATGATTGGTTTTACACTCACAAAAGGAATAGAGATTTTGTACTACATACACCGTTGTGAATGGGGTACAACCTAAAAAAACAAAAAATAATTTTATGGATCACATTTTGGGAAATTCTTGTGTTAACAGCAGATGGGACTCTCTGCTTTCAAGGCAGGCGTGCTAACCCCTACAGTATGGAACCTACAATAAGACACCCTGCCACACTAGAAAGTTTACCAGTCCATCACAAGGCCACATTTGAAGATCTGCCCAGACTACTTCTTTTTTCTCTAATTTACAATAACACATTACAACATCACTTTCAAGAGTCAGGATGGGTTAGGTGACACGTCAGACTGAACCTCTAAATTAAATCTCAAACATCAACTTTGATTAATATTCCGAGCTACAGCAGATGGAAGCAACCACTCATTGCCAGTCATTTTGCCTTCACATCCTTAACGGTGTTTCCCATCAAACACATGAAACAACAGCTGCACGGAACGTTTATGTCCCATGAATTGGACATTTCCTGCAAAAAAACAAGTCTGCAGGTAGCGAAGATTAGGAGGAAATGAGGAAATTCAGGTTTGTGTGTCACATGTTAATCAGACAATGATGTACGAGGCAACATGATCTCGTACAGAGCAGGACGTCATCTGACAAAATTAAGTAACCAGAAAAAACACAACAATGTTTTGGTTAAATCTGTCACATGTAACACATATCTACACTTACATCTTCAATGAAGTTGCTCCAGTTTCTTCCTGTCAACCTATCTCCTGCCTCCTCTACTTTTACATCCACATTGTCCATGTCTTCTTATATAGCATCCACAACTTCCCTCTGAGGTCTTCCTTTTCTCCTCTTGTCTGGCAACTCCATTTCCAACGTCTCTTGTCAGTTATATTCTCTATCTCTCCTTAACACTCTAACCTCATCTCTAAACCCCTCCACCTCCAACTCAGCCTTCTTTTTTTATTAGACAGAGTCACGGTCTCTAAACCATATATCATAGATGACTGTCATAAAACGTGTGAAAACATTTAGAGCCAACATGCACAGCCATCTACATTGTAAATGGGCCTCGAATTCAAATAAACTATTTACACAGTGCCAGCAGTGCATTTTGTGTGAAGCATCCAGAGAGCATCAGAGAGACCACCCTGAGCAGAGAGGGGTCTCAAAGGATCAGAGCCTTTGTTTTCTGCCAAAATGAAACAGAGAAAAGGCTTCTGGCCTTTTCTCTGTTTCACACACTGTACATTGCTCCTCTCTACTTTATTGTTTACTGGCAGTGCAAAGGCTGACGGCCCCAGAGACCTGAGCTGTTCCTTCACACTGATGGAGAACCATCAATGGGCGGGTATGTGTGTGCTTGTCTGTGTGCGCAGGGGTTTACCCCTTTACTCACCCGATATACTGCAGTGGATGGCTCTGATGAATAACAATCCTACATGTGGGGCAGGTGTTGTTTTCTTCCAGGTACTTCACTAGGCAGCTTCTACAGACTGAGGAGAAACAAACAAACAGCGGACTTACTAACATTTCAAAACTGACTTTTCTTTCTTTGGCATTTTACAAGTATTTTGCTGTAACTGAATAAATATTCAGCTGGCTGAATAAATGAGGAACAATAGAGAAAATACCGATGTAAGAAAAAACATCAAACTGTTTAATACCTGTTACAGTGTAATGGATGTGGGTTGGCAAATCATGACACTTCTCGTATGCAATATGTTCAAAAGGATGGACAGCCAGATAATAATAATAACAGTTTTGTCCACTGCATTTGATACAATTATTTTCATTAACATCTCCACACAGTTTTAGAGCAGGGAAATTGAAGCTGCATTTGTGATAGAACAGCGCTCTCCAGTGGACAGATGACTCATTACAACTCCTGACTTTGCCACAAAATCAGAGTTTTTGCAACAATTACATGAAATAACTGTTAATTTACCATTTCATAGAAGGCCAGAGCAGGTATTTAACTTTACGCCAGCATTTTCAATTAAATAAACTTATCAATTAACAATGTGGCAACAGATTAAAAGATCTTCATCTGTTAATCTGTTCTCCCTAAACTTCCATCCTTTCTTATAATTAACTCAGGATTTAGTCTTATACTCTACTGTTTTAAAATTTCAACAAATTACAATTTAGCAGTACACAATGGTCTGCAAGTCAATGTTTTCAACATTTCTTCCAAGAGGTTTCACATCAATGATCAATAACAATGATCAATGACAATGATCAGTCATTTAAATGTTTGGTTGTTTTGTTTTTTTGCAGCAATCAATATACTTAACAGCAGTCAATAACTTTTCTTCAAAAGCAAGGTTTGCAGGTCTGAGCAGAGTCTCTTTGTTTCATTCTCTGCAGAACCTTTTCATAATTCCCTGGCAACATACAGTACAATTATGATTTCACAACAACAGTAAACACACACGTCAGCATGTGTGTGCTGGGTGTATCTTCAGATCGATCAACACCACATCTGGTTTGAAATCACCCCTCAGATCATCATCTAACTGCAACGCTGAGGTCATTTGAGGACAACACACTCATGCCAGCATGCATTAACATTGTCCACCACCGAGAAGCACCGCAGACCGTCTCTTCGGCAGATGTCCTCACTGAAGATTCACTCAATCTTCTATGTTGCAGTTACCAATTGACACCCTTTTAAATATTATGTTTTTGCAATCAGGAAATCAGATTATAAAGCACGTGAAGCAAGTTTTAATCTAATTCGGTCACAGGAGTTTGGCCAGGACATATTTTTGTTACTGTACTAATGAACACTCTCGGCATGTGATCTCCAGGACCAGAGCAAAACAGAGCTGGAATTAGCCAGCTATTGACTCAGACAAGTATAATTAAAGTTTTAATGAGACAAACCTCATCCATTTCTGGGTCAAATTAAACACCTTAAGTACCAACTGTATGATTCTTCTGCACCTTATGGATGTGGTCAGTAAGATCACCAGATGTCTTCCTGTGGTCTGTGGTTCCAATATAAACGTACTGTAAACCACAGCATTACAGTCTGAAGAGCTGATAACATTTAATATTTTGCAGTGCGTGTTTCTCATTTTGAGCACAAAGGGGCTGCATAAATATGTCAAATAACTGGTAAATAATTATACACTAAATTATTTAATTACTTTTTCATACAATAACTATTCTGTCAGCTATTTGTGCAATAGTCACTGAAGCACTAATGAGCTATAGAAATGTTGTGATGAAAGGTTGGAGCACTTTCAGTAATTTTATGCACCATAAACACTTTAGTTTTTTGTTTCAATGGCACTACATACTGCAGATCATGGTTCAATTAATCAAGTTATTCTCTGCAGACATTTCAAACAAGACCGTTCCACTGCTTCACTAGGGGACCAGACTAACATAAACATTAGCTGCAGAATTATTTGTATATAAAGGCACTGCACTGGGGCTCATCAATACCTAGTTCATGCAGACAATGCTTTCAGTAAAAGAGTGCTTGATAGTTAAAACAGGAAATGTCTGGATAAACTGATGCAAAATCGCAGAGGAAGTTCCTTCCTCAAACTAGTCTCGCAAGAACTCTTTAAGTACTGGGCAATCCAGACAAAAGTTACATTTTTTTGATTCATGTTCCAAAATGAACAAATCTAAAAAATGTTTTTTTTTAAAAAAAATCACATTATTATGCACCACTATTTTTTTAATAAATACTGTGATTGATGTGAGTGTTTCACCCCTGCTTCACTGGCTTTTAAATACTGGCCTAATTACATTCATTAGAAACTGAGACAACAGCTCTAAGACCTTTTTGATAATGTGTCCAAATGAGAGCTCTCAGGAATGAAAAAAGTACGAATTCTTCAAGCATTCTCCTGAGAGAGAAGCAGAGATGTTTTTGTAGCTTTTAGTGAGCTACAGGATACAGGATTATGTGGAAGAGGCAGACAGTGTAATGACTACCTGCAGACACAGACACGGCAGTTTTATCCTACTTTACTGAAAGCACCTAATGATGTACCACTGAGATTACAACTTCTTTTCTCCCTCATCTGATGGATAATACATGTGCAGAATCCGTAACACTGTCAGGAGTCTCACTTTCTACAACACTGTGATAGCTTGATCACCAGAGGGGTTTTTTTCATATAACACTGTTCTACATAATTACAAATCTAGGGGAGCGCCATGCTCTACATTAAAACATCAGATAGAACATGTTGCTTCGTGAGAGAACACATATTACACACTAATGGCAAGGATGCAAGATGATGTCCTGTGTAATGAAGGACATATCCAACAGATATCACACAAAACTGCCAGTTTTTTGGTGGAATATGAACGCTTCAACGTCTTTCTTGCCCTTTGAGCTGCGGTGCCTGCATTAACTCAATTAATTTTTGACTAGTGTTTTTTTTTTCCTCTGCTTAAAACAAAGGGCAACCATGCAATCAAATAAACATGACAACAAAAAGAAGATACAGGTAGGCAGAGATCCATGCAAAACTGCCTACAGAAAGAATAGATTAAATAAGCACCAAATCCCATACAGTACTGTGCAAAAGTTTTAGACAGTTGGATATGTGTATTTACTATATGCACCTCTTTTTCTTTTTCAAATAATGCATGACAAGATGCCCGAAGAAGCTTACTGAAATCAAATTGTGAAAATACTCTATAAAAAGAGTACATGGTGAAAAGAAAAACCTACAGGTGTGTAAGCACTCTGTGACAGTGGTGGCGTCGATCAGGTAGCCCTCACACAGACGACATGTGATGTGGGCGTTGATGTGACACAGCTTTATCTTCCTCGTCAGCATGTCGGGGTTCTGTTGGGGAAGAAACATCACAATTTAAAGGTGAAAGCATAAGACTCAAAATGAAAAGTAAACAGCCATGCATTCAATTGATTTTTCACTCGGAGCAAAACCTTTTAAGACTCAAATGACTTGAAGCAACATGGCAGGAATTTGATATAGCCACACTATATAAAAGGCTGATCTAGATAATGTTGTGAAAGTTGTACTTAGTTATTTGGTGGCATTTAGGAATCTTCTTCTGTGGTATATCAAGTAAACAACAACAAAAAAAAGCAATTTACATGTCCATATCTTTACCTATTTGATTGAATGGACCTGTTTTAGATTAGTTGACATGATTTGAAGTGCAATGTAAAGCTTATATTTTTACTACATACATTTGTTTCAGAATTACTAAAACACTAAACTTAGGGGCAAAATAGCTTTGAGCTGCATTTCTGTATTTTTATGGCCCTCAAAGGAGTTACAAAGCTATCGTCCCTGCTTTTTCTGTCGACCACAGCGACTGTTTCTCCCGAAACTTTACCCTCCATCTCAATAGCTCTCTGTAGATAACTTTTTTCTGTCTGTAGTGAACCTGTGGGAACGTCTTTGATGCATTCACCTTGCCACCGTTGTGTCCTTTATTCTGTTGCATGTCAGACAATACATCAGGTAGCAGCAGTCATTCGTGTCATTGTTGGCAGTGACGGCTCGCTGCCAGTGTAAAACCCCAGGTGTAGACTGTAAGCTGTTCAACAGTGAGGCCTCACTTCAGCATGAATGTACTTGATCATACTTGACAGAGAAAGATAGACAGAAACTAAGAAAGCCCTATTTATTTATATCTCAGAAGTTCACTGTGGATGGAGAGTCCCAGGGAAAATGCTAACATGGTACCGATCAGCAGAATGTGTAATAATGGAATTACTTTAAGAGAGGATTAGAATGAACCTTTGTAGTATACAGAGACAGGCTACTAATACTGCTTTGTTTCTACAGCAGGGTGAATGACTCGACCAGCCAAAGCATGTCTTTCTGGCATGATGCAGGAGATAAGCGAGTCGTCAGGTCATTGTAATGTGCAGTTGAACCATAGTTGTATTACAGTGTTTGGGTTGAATCGATAAAAGAGTTTTTTGTTTTTAGAAGTACACTATGTGAAAGTGAAAAACTGATAAACACATAATATTACTATTTGTCTTCTTTTGACTGTTCTCTTTAGGTGTCATAGAGCATCTGCCTGAAACTCACCCTAATGGGGAAAGGGTCTTCCTCTTTCCCCATTGCCTGGAAGCTCCATCTCCAACATCTTTAATATTCGTCAAATATATATTTTTTATTATTATTATTCACTATCTCTCCTCAGCTCATGTTCAAACCATCTCAACTTTACATTAGAGAGGTGACGTTTATTTTATCTCTAAACTGCTCAACTTTAACTGTCCTTACTTTTTTGACTCCTGTGCATCTGTTACTCCAACAGCACACCTTACTTACCATCTCCCTGGCATTATACATGCATACGTTATATGTACATGTCCTGCACTACCCTAACATGCAGTATTTCTCTATTGTCTAAAATGTTACACAACACAATTTTCCCCTACATTTATTTTGTTAACAAATAAATGTAATAAATTATGTTACTATTACATATTTCATATTATACCCAATCAGTATTTCTTATTTTAGATGTGATATATAAATACTTATAAGGGTATCATACTAATGAATACTGGAAGGAGTTGGGTTTATTACACAGTTAGGTTTATTACTGGTATATTGCACAGGTTGCTAAACAAGGAGGCTCTGAGTGTGAGTCATTCATATGGTAGTCTCTGGGCCTACAGAAGAACCTGTCTCCAAGATTGTTGGTTCTGAGGCTCCTGTACCTCCCACAAGACAGTAGGAGGAAGAACAGTGTGCTGTGTGGATGGGATGAGTCTTTGATGATTCCCACTGACTTCCCTAGAAGCTGGAGGCTGAACTTACACTAGGTGGTGTGATGGTCTGTGGGCACCACCTTCACTAACCATATCTGTGGTTAAAGCTGCCTGTTAAAGGTGTGCTCTCAGAGGATGCACAAAGGTGACTAGGTGCCTCAGCTTGTAGACATGCTAATACACCATCATTACTAGGTTCTTCAAATTAACTCTAAATAACGCCTGTGGTTTGGTACACTATGCAGCCAGCAATGGCAGAAATCATAACATGATTTATTTATATATATATATATATATTTATATATATATATATATACATATACATATACATATATATACATATATATGTACATACATATATATATGTATACTATAAAGTTGACGATTAGAGTCACCAAACCTCTTGTGCTTTATAAAGGACATGCTTATTTTTCCAAAACAATGTCTCTTTGTTAATAAAATCACTTTAAAATAGTTACTCTGACACCAGGTGACATAAAATTAGCAATGTTTTGTTGTTCTTTTTTTTTTCAATATTTTTATTATGTCACTGTAAGGACATAAAGAGGAAAATGACCTGCCTTCTGATCGTGTTTCCTGTAGTTTAAAAAGTGTGTTTAATAAATAACATTTAGTACCAAAATAGAAAATGAGGTTTATAATTGGGACTATGTCGAGTTTTAATCCTTAGAAATGAAGTTGGTTTATCTCACATTAGGCTCTTAAAACAAGAGGCAACTGGAAACTTACCCCTAAAACCGCCATGCATCTACTGTGGATGGTGCAGCAGTCTTCTGCAGTCGTTTGGCAACAGTGTTAACTCCTCATCATGAAGAGTGGCACATTCGAGCCTGAGGAGAAAAAGGAAGAGAGTAAGTAAATGTCTCAACTTTCTTAAATCTTATTACAAGAAGATAAGAAAGCGAAAAAGGGAAATAAAATAATTTTCCAACTAATATTTCTGTATTGCCAGGACGGGTTCTAATCGGGTTCCAATTTTAAAATGAAAAACAAACAAGCTGTATAGCTGTAAAACGATCACTACATCTCTGGTTTTCTGTCTGACAGTGTATGCTGTACAAACTGTGGCAGTGTATATAGAAAGTTGTGAGTTGACCTGGAAGTTTTGCTGAAAGATTTTTTAAATGCTGATTCCAAAAGAAGATTTTTTACCTATGACCAGGCTATCATGTTGAACTAATGTCCTCCAAGTTGTTGTCCCCTACACTGTACCAAACTCACTATATTTCTGTCTCCAACCTGTCGCAGCAACAGTGATTCATTGGGAGACTCATTGTGAGTCAGTGCTTAATGTAGGAGTCCAACCCTTACAGTCACGACAGGAGGTGCAGGATGCCAGGTGAACACCCACCTCTGCTTCATCCTACTCCGAACGCAATATAAAAATTAGACAAAAAAGAAAAGGCTTTCGAAGGTCTCCAGCACTACAGTAGTAAGCAGACCAGCCGCCTCAGTCTGCTCATCAGACCATGAAATTAGCCCAGTTAGTCGACAGTGATGAAATTCAGCAGGGGGCGGCTGAGGACACACACGGTACGGAGGCTTATTAGCACAGCAGTCACGCACAGCTAAGCTCTACAAAGATCAGCACATGACAAGCTAGCCAATACTTCAGTGATGCTGCAGTAAATTATTTGTGCGTCTGTAAAGGTTAGGTTGGGGTCACGTTCACAGTAACAGCAAGAGTGCTTCCTGTTTGTTTTCTGTGTACAGGTTGTAGAACATCTACAAAAATTGGCATTTACTGTAAGTGAAAAGGAGCAGAAATCTCAAATCAATCTGACTCAACCCTTCTGTTTTGCGGTTTCAAGTTTCACCCTCTTTTAACTTTTAGTGATCACATTTAGGCCATCAACACTAAGCATTTGATCAAAAAACACAAATCCTGTCGACGTAAAGATGCTGACAGTTTGTTCAGAACAACAAGCAAGAGTACACAGACTTTTAGAAGTCAGTACATCTAGCATTAGTTTGAAGAGATACCAGAACAAAGGAGAGCTTTCAAACACAAAATTTAAACCGTTATTCACACCCAATATTTAAGTTCTTTACTGACTCAGTTTCTGCCTTGTCAATCCTAACCACAGGTAAACTAAACAATGGGTAACGTGATCAGATTTTAACCAACCCAGGTTAGTTAGAAAGGTGGAGCGCTCCATTGATCAATATAGTTGCTGTTCAAATCTTGTGCACAAGTTTAAAGTGTCTATTTCACTGTTGCATTAATAACACTAAGAGGAATGTATATGCACCGTTACAATATCACAATGTCTTTGAGTGCAAATCAGGTCAGCGTCTGCTGCTGCAGTCAGGATCATTTCAGACTCCTGCCCATGTGAGTCCTCAAAAGAAACTGCATCTATGAAGCTAGTTATGTCCTCGACAATAGGTGAAATTCTAAACTGCTACAAATTAGGCTTAAATCCTCTGTTTGTCACAACTAATTTGTTTATATGTCATTGGGAAACTCATGTTTTGGCACTGTTATAATAGTATGTTTATTTCAATGTTTAACTAATTAATTAGTCAAACAATATCAAAACGTTGATAGCTTCAAAAACGTGTACTAAAATTTCACAATTACTTCTGTTATTAAAGAAGGAAACCCACTGAGACTTCATCGTAGACATCCTACAAACCTACTACCAAACTAATTGTAAGAAAAAAAAGTCTCATCCACCACACTGCACTGCTTAATGATAAAAATAGAATTTTATCTAATTTTGAAAAGGACAATAATCTATTTGCTTGAATTTCACTTACAGACTGCTGGTGGCTGGTGTGTAGAGCAAGAAAACAAGGACAACAAATGCAAGATTACTGCAACAACTGAAATAAGAAAAAGAAATCTCCCAGGGGCAACATTTGAAGAAGTCTACAGCTCATTTTCCAGCAGCTTTACCAACAGTCACGTACTGATCACTGCATCCTTCATGATTTAGTAGGTTGGAGATCAGACCATTTGCTGACAACATCACTGGTGTAACTTCATTTATAAGCTGATGATGGTGAGGCCAGGTCTCTCTTCTAAAAGAGATATGCAATCTCAATGGACTTTCTTGTTCAATTAAGGGTAAATAAAAAGAAAAAAAATATACAATTTCAGAATATGTATTTTTCATCCTTGTTTTCCTTATATTACATTATCTGCACTAATAAATTGTACTTAATTTCACTGCAGTGCAATGATTTTGGCCAATATTGGACAGATATAAAGATGGAAAGACTGGCAGATTTTCAACTACTGTATTGTTCGTATTGAAACCATTTAAATAATTCATGCTTTCACCAAAGCAAACAAGCAGAAACCCTCAGGATGGAGCCAAGGATTTGCAGCTGATCATGAGCTAAACAACTGTCTTAGAGCCTGATGAGCGCATGCACACACACACATAGGGAGGCACACACACTATGACATTACAAGAAGCTCCCTGTTGGCCTGCCAGTGGGTATTGGAGTGTTTGGCTTCAGTGTAAATTGACTGCCAGCTGGAGCGACGGACACTGAAGGCCTGCACCAGTGGATGGAGCCAGGAGGAGAGGCCTCCACTTGTTGTAAAAACGCTGGCTTCATTTCAACACACACACACACACACACGTGGTCCAAGGCCACACACTGTTAAAAAACATGTAAACACATATGAAGTACATGAAAATGGAAAAGCAGTCTTCTCAAAGTTCACACAAGAGCATCTAAACACAACTGGAGTCATTGTCTCTTCTTAATTCTCTTTGATGGTCTTCAATCCTTCTGCCAGAAATGGAGGCCTAAGGGAAATCAGTCAGACAATAGACGTGCTCCAAAGAGTAAGAGAAGGCGGCGGGCCAGAAGGACGTGTGCTCTGCCAAGAAGCAGCAACACTTGAATAATTGAGCTTTGAGTTTAGGGTGTGAAGGGCGACGGTAATGATAGTGAAACTAATGTGTAATACACTCACAGGTCAGTCCATGCACAGAAACTACACAGACTTAAAAAAGGAGACCGCTATTCCTCTGGTGTAAATTCAATTGAGGAGCTTGAAAGACCGACAGGTGCCAAAGTCAGGACTATAAATTATATATGAGTTCAGGTCACAGTTCAGGCAACAGATGACAAAATATTTTTCTGACATGATGCTGTGCCAGAGCATTACTGAGGCAACAGGACTCTTCCTCACCATTTTAAGTGAGTAAGGTTTGAATTTGCTGTGAGAAAAACTATTTTACTGATGCTGTAATAATATTTACACCAGGCACCACATTTGCATTAGCCTGAAGGTATGACTGGATGGTGGGTTGAGTGAATGATTCAACCACAGCAATTACTCTACAGATCAAGGTATAACATCATGATTTAATCCTGAAGGTTTCATATAGTAAAATCAATAACCAGACTTGTGACACGTTTCCAAAAACAAAGAGAACCTTAATGCACAGTGATGCAAATGGGAGAGACCTAAATTAATGTACATGGTAAACTGGAGCAGAAGGCTGGTTTTTGGTTGGCAGATTTCCTCTAGTGTGTATGTGCTTCTGTATTTTTTCTGACCCTCTAAGTTTACAAACTGTGTCAAAAATGTAACCACGAAGCTAACTGGATGGTGGTGGTCATGAATGCAGGGCAGCTTTGATTTTAAACCTTCTATGTTGACTCATCTCTAAAGACTCTTCCAGCACTCGATAGTTGGCCAATAAAAGGGAATAGGATGGACCACAAGTCACCAGACATTGACCCTGCTGATGTTGTTTTGTCACACTTATTTGTCATTTTCTGTTTTTCTGTTAGAAGCCAAAGGCCATGTGTAGACAGAGGTTTAACAATCAATACATGCAGAGATTAAACAGTCTAAAAGACATAATAGACTTTCATAGTCTATTGAAAGTTTCTTATCTATCTTTAGAAATGTTGCTCTGCTTCTTAAAGTAGGATAAAACACATTGGTGAAGGATTTACAAGGAGCTCTGTGTTCTTTCCATCTGTGCAGATTAGACAGCACAGTGAGCTTCATAGACCACTACTGGATATTTATCACTTGTAGTTATAAGACTCTCCAAAAGGGATGAGCCAAACTGATCCAGGAAGGGGAGCTGGGCAGATTACAGCAGTAACACTGTCTGCATCACTATGTTGAAGATCATGTTCATGCCTAAATGTTTGGCCACTTATACAGAAGCCTTTACAGTCACAACACTACGCTGCTTTGGGAAAATGATTCCACTGAGTGGCATCTGTTATGATTGTGGCCAAATGGGCTTGTTATCCAGAGTTGTCGGGTTATCAAGCACAGGCGCTAAAACAGACTGTCCAGTGCTCTCACTGTGCAGACAGAGGCACAAACAGAAAGTTACAAAAGGAGAAAATAGTAAACAGTCTTATTTACCAGAGTCTTTAGACACAGTGCTCACCCAGACAGTACCAGAAAGAAGAGGAAAGAAGATAATCGAAATGAGGAATCTAAAAATGTTTCATCAAGCTCTGCAGTATTCAGTTGTCTGATGGCCATTGCTAAGGAACACGTTCTGGTACATCAACTAAAGGTTAGAAGCCTTTGATCAATTTTAATCACAGTCTGGATGAACTTTCAGAACATAGGAACCAAAACAACAAAGAAAAACATATATTTAAATATATAAACATATATTTCAATGTTCACTGCTAATATACTAGTTGACAGCCTTTTTAACGATTGATCAGTAGCAAAATTGATATTTCTACACAATTGATTCTACACAACCACTGACTGAACAGTAGGTTTGTGGGGAAATTTGTGACTGGTCAACCTGTTTTGGGGTTAAATGGCTAGGATGGCTTCACTTAATATACTGCACAGGATGGAGGCAGTCTGCATCAA